TCATGTGATTTCTTTATGAAAACACACGGACATATTTGATCATTCAAGTATCCCCTTTTTAGTAATTGTTCACTCAAACAATTATACCACATACGCCCGGATTGTTTTAAGCCATACAATGATCTTTGCAACTTTAACGCACATAACTCCTTAGGTTTTGAGTTCAGTGCTTCGGGCATTCTGATTCCTTCTGGGACTTTCATGTATATGTCGGTGTCTAATGATCCATACAAGTAAGCAGTCACAACATCCATGAGACGCATCTCAAGATTTTCATGGGTAGCTAAACTCATCAAGTATCTGAAAGTAATTGCATCCATGACAGGGGAATATGTTTCATCATAATCGATCCCAGGCCTTTGGGAGAATCCCTGTGCAACAAGGCGAGCTTTATATCTCGTGATCTCATTATTCTCATTTCTTTTTCTGGTGAAAACCCATTTGTATCCAATGGGTTTTATGCCTTTTGGTATAATGGAAATAGGCCCAAAAACTTTTCGTTTATTTAGTGAATCTAACTCGGCTTGAATGGCGCCTTTCCATTTATCCCAGTCACGTCTTTTCTGACATTCAGCTACAGATTTTGGTTCAGGATCCTCAACTTCATTATCAATTTCTTTTGATACCATATATACGAATGCATCATCATTATTCATGATCTCATCACGCTTCCAAAGATTCCCATTGTTCACGTAATTGATGGAAATCTCAATATTTTCATTTTGTCCCGAAATTTTTCCATCATCTTGATTCCTTTTCAAATTGGAGTCAAGAATTTCTCTTTTCTTTCGAGGATTCTTATCTTTAGACCCAACTGGTCTTCCTCGTTTCAAGCGTGTCTTTGACTCATTTGGCTTATCGTCATTTGCCATTTCTTTTGGAATCTCAATTCGAGCAGGGGCATTTACGGCTACCACATGTGATTTGGTCACCCTTTTTAAATCAGTAAATGCATCTGGCAATTGATTTGCAATATTCTGCAAATGTATGATCTTTTGAATTTCTTGATCTCTTTGTTTGGTGGGAGGATCAAGATATGATAATGCGGATGTTCTCCATTCAATATTTCTCTCAATTGACTTTTCATTCCCACCTAAAGGGGGAAACAATTCTTTATTAAAATGACAATCATCAAAACGAGCTGTAAAAACATCACCTGTTTTTGGCTCAAGGTATTTGATTATTGATGGAGATTCATATCCAACATATATTCCCAACCTTCTTTGAGGCCCCATTTTTGTACGTTGTGGCGGAGCAATTGGTACATATACTGCACAACCAAAAACTCTTATATGTGCAATATTTGGTACTCGACCATATGCCAACTGTAATGGCGAGAATGTATGGTATGCACTTGGTCTTATTCGAATTAGATCATCTGCATGCAGAATAGCATGTCTCCATATTGATGTGGGGAGTTTTGTTCTCATTATCAATGGTCTAGCTATAAGCTGCAGTCGTTTAATAAGTGATTCTGCTAGACCATTTTGAGTGTGAACATGTGCCACAAGATGTTCAACATCAATGCCCACAGCCATACAATAATCATTAAATGCTTGAGATGTAAACTCTCCAGCATTATCCAGTCTGACTCTCTTGATAATATAATCTGGGAATTGAGCCCTTAATTTAATAAGTTGGGCAAGTAATTTAGCAAATGCCATATTTCTAGTGGATAACAAACTTACGTGAGACCATCTACTAGAGGCATCAATCAACACCATAAAATATCTGAATGGACCACAAGGTGGATGAATAGGTCCACATATATCACCATGAATCCTTTCTAAAAATAATGGTGATTCATGTCCGACTTTAGTATGTGATGGTTTCATTATCAATTTCCCTTGAGAACAAGAGGCACATGTCAACTCATGTGTTTGCAATATCCTCTCATTTTTTAGTGGATGGCCACTAGAATTTTCAATAATTCGTCGCATCATTATCGAGCCAGGGTGACCAAGTCGATCATGCCAAAGTTTAAATATTTCATTCGACTTTGAATTTGTTGCAGCATATGCCTCAATTATATTAATCCGGGTATAATACAAACCCGAGGATAAAGCGGGTAACTTCTCCAAAACACATTTATTTCCCGCATTATCTGAGGTAATGCAAAGATATTCAACTCCCCCTTTATTCATCGTTTCAATGTGGTATCCGTTCGTTCGGATATCTTTAAAACTCAACAAATTTCTTGTTGATTTTGGGAGAATAGTGCATCACTTAATATAAATTTTGTACCGCCCATCATAAAAAATATGGCTTTTCCAAAACCTTCAATTATCTTTGCACTTCCGGATATTGTGTTTACTTTTGCTTCATTTAATTTCAAGTTCACGAAATATTTTCTGTCCTTGAGGATAGTATGAGTAGTAGCACAATCTGCAATACATATATCTCCATCTTGAATTCGAGACCGATCCATGATCTAAAAGAAAACAACATTTATTATTGATCAAATTCAAAGTACAGATACAAGTAGCTCATACACAAATACATTACAACTCAAAAAGCAAAATAAAAACATGATCATCAGTTATTCTCTAGGTCATTTCCAGCTCCGTCTTCAAATGCCGCATCGGCAAAATCCAGTTTCAATATGTCATCGATGCCATAGTCATCATCCACACGCGTTGCATCATTTTCAGAGGATTCCCCAACCATAAAATTAGTTTCTATATTCTTATCTTTTGATTTCTGGGAATCTTGGTATTTTTCAACCTCGTGCCTTGGGGCTCGACAATTTCGAGCCCAATGGTTATTTCTACCACATCGATAGCATGCCTTTTCATCGTTATCCCTTTTTTATTTTCAAAATGTTTATGAAAATCATTTTTTCCATGTCCATGATAATTACCTCGGCCAAATTTGTATCCTGGGAAAAAATTTCGGCCTCGTCCATAATTTCTATCTGGACCATATCCACGGCCACGTCCACGTCCACGTCCACGTCCACGACCACGGCCACGTCCCGAGGTATATCCACGCACATTTGTTTGACTGTTTTGATTTCCGGTTCCTTGTTTAGATATTACAGCATTTATTTCAGGGACCGCAGTAGACCCCGTGGGTCTAGATTCATGATTTTTCATCAACAGCTCATTATTTTGTTCGGCTAGCAACAAGCAAGAAATCAGCTCAGAATATTTCACAAAGCCTTTTGCTCTGTATTGTTGCTGCAAAAGTACGTTTGAAGCGTGGAATGTGGACAACGTTTTTTCAAGCATATCATAATCAGTTACGTTTTCCCCGCATAATTTCAATACCGAGCAAATGCGGAACATGGCTGAATTGAACTCGTTTACAGTTTTAAAATCTTGGAAGTGTAAGTGCATCCATTCATAACGAGCCCGGGGGAGAATTACTGTTTTCTGATGATCGTATCTTTCTTTCAAAGCTTTCCAAAGATCCGCAGGATCTTTCACAGTTAAGTATTCATTTTTCAATCCCTCATTTAAATGATGCCGCAGAAATATCATTGATTTAGCTTTATCTTGTATTGATGAATTATTTGGGGAGATTATTGTTTCTCCCAATCCCCTCGCGGCCAAATGAATTTCGGCATCCAGTGTCCATGAAATATAATTTTTTCCCGAAATGTCAAGAGCCTCAAATTCAAGTTTGACCAGATTTGCCATGATAACTATAAAATAAAACATCAATGCTTATATTAGAGAAAATTACATTATACAATCATTAATTCTCCATAACGTACAGAAAAACAAATAAGAGACACATCATACAAAAACCTAATACATAAAGTATAAATTCAGTGGTATGATACATCATCGTGAAAATTCCCAAAGTGTAAAAAATAAGCAATATAATGGTAATTATAAATAGTAGATGAAACATTTTTTTTCGTTTGAGGGAAATATATTTTAATATTTGAAATGAGTGTTAATATATGAAGTGTAGTGTGATATATATATATAAGTTGATAAGTAGCCGTTGCAATATAGCCGTTATGTAGCCGTTGGGAACAAATTAATGATATAATATTTGTTAGTTAATCATTCATGATTATAAAATACTAATTAATCATGTATATTGTCTTAAAAATTCATCGAGCCACTATGTGAACAATTTAATGAATATAAGTGTCAAAACAAATAAAAATGTCACTCCACACTACTCGATAAATCTTTCGGTGGGTACAAATATAAGCAGTTATAAATTTCACACCACATTACTGGGTAAACCCGTTTGCGGGTGTGAAGTACAAGTAATAATATTATATATTTTTAATTATAACATGAAGTCATTTCTTAATCATTAGTAATCCATAAGTAAATTTGATAATATCAACTTACCACATATTATTGACTATGGCAGAGCCGTACTTGCCAATAATAATGGTAATATGTAAATTAGTATAATGTTATATTTAGTATATTCATACCACATATTCTTGACTATGGCAGAGCCGTACTTGTCAAAAATAATGGTAATATGTAGATTAGTAAAATATACTGATTTTATGTAATGTATATACATATTAGTATATTCCTACCTTTCGGACCGGGTAGAGCGTTCGTGCTGATAACGTGTTATAAAGACGGAAAGATAAAGAACACAATATAGAAACTGGATATCACTTATACTCAATTTTCTTCTTCCTTCTGTACATTTTCATTGCATTTCGGGTGCCTTTTATAGGCAAACTTTCCTGACATAACATACAATAATTTACACCACATTCATATCTATTACTATTCCCATTTATTCAAATAGTGAAATGTCACTATTCATGCATAGTGGTTCATTCCACTTATTTATAACACAATGCAATTAATTCAAGGAACTACACAACCAACCTGGGACTATGGGAGGACAATCCGAAAACACTACCAACACAACACACCCACCACTCCTCAAATACCAAACTCCCACATAAAGAATAAACGTTCTTTAACAATCTGATTTGATATGAGCTTTTCCCAATCCTATGAATAGAAAAATGTTGCCACACAATATCCCATAAATCTGCAAAGGCTTTTAACTTAAAAATGCATCATCCAAATATTAGTTCATCCTCTCAATTTCCAACAAACATTATAATATTAATAGTGATCTTTCACACAAGGTGCATCTTCAGAAATGATTCAGTGAAACAACCATACAAGAAAAAAACGAAGAATAAAAGTTACAAGAACAATACCAATCCAAACTGCTGTCCAGAAAAGATGCCACGACAAATTACAACATTCACACCACTCACAACTCCTACATTATAAAACAAGAGAAGAGAAAGTAAAAAATCAAGCAAAAGGAAAAACAGATACGTCCTTGTTCATAAGAAATCATCACTGCTTTGTGCGAAAACTATCTCCGCAATCAACCCCTAAAACCGAAAGCAGACCACTTCTTGGAGGATGTCTCTTTCTTGTTGGTCCTTTTCGAGTTAGGATCTATGAGGTTTTCAAGAGATTTGGCCTTTTTGTTTCTTGACCTGCCAGCTTCTTTCAGAAGCTCCGCTAGTCTTTTCTTCTCGTCATCGAAATCAGGATTTGCGGTTCCAAGTTTCTCTTCTCGAAGTTTCAAAACATACTCCAGAATTTCTATTGCATCTTCAATTCTGTTGGTTAAAGAGTTGTCAACGGAAGGCATGATGAATACCCTTGTGAGATTCTTGGAACATAAAAACATTTCACAATGCAAATTGGTTACCCCATCTGGCATATGGGAGAGTATTTTATACCATATCTAACATTGACAATCATATCATAAACCCTACATGCTGAAATTTTTCATTTTTGTTTGTCCAGTCAATATTTATCTCATTGAAACTGAATATAAAATAAAAAAATTCCACAAAAAAAAATATTCAGCTCACTGTATTCAACAAAAATGAAATCATTCAGTTTTTTTTTGGACCAAAAACATATTCCTCCACTCACGTACTCATCCAAAAATATTCAGCCCTCATCCGTAAATATATTATTCAACCAAAAACATATTCATCCACTCACGTATTTCTAACTATCAATCTTATCAATCAATATTTCATTAATTTTATAACATATCAATTGTAATCTTTAAATTTTTATCTTATATCCACTCCCAATTTTAAATTTATCTCATTTTTTTCCAAAAATACTTTTTCCATTTTTTTTATCTCACATAAAATTTATTAAAAAAGAAAAATCTTATATCCAATGGCACTCGTAATTTTCAGGTAGAGTCAAAGAGTTGTAAAGAAATTATGGGTTGGCTTCCAACATATTTGAACCAATGGAAACACACTAATGTTGTACCACATATTTGAACTCCATTTGCAAACTTCCCACATATTTGAACTCCATTAACAAACAGAAACAGATGGAAACACACACCAATGTACCATCCAGTTTGAGTTAATAGGAAAAGTTGAAAGGACGTTTGCTTGAGGCCACCTAAATATTCACAATCTCCAGAGTCCCATAATTCTTACTTCCATTTTTTCTTCCCATGGACAAACAACTAAAGTCCGAAACAATAAATTTCAAAGCGATGCCTGCAAAATCTCATCAAAGAATATATTTCCCAGNAAAAAAAAAAAAAAAAAAAAAGCAGATTAATGAAAAAATTGTACCTTCCCATAGCATCGTAAGTCGCTGCAAGATTGCTGTACACACCGAGCGTATCGTGGTGGCATGGCCCACACTCCTTCTCCAGTATCCCTCTGGCCTCCTCAAACAGCCCGGCCGCTTCATCTATTCTGAAGAGCTGCACACAGGCCAGCCCCATCTGGTTCAGAACCACCCCAAAGAAAGCAGAACTCCTCTCCCCATAACCCCTCAGCTTCTCAACCGCACTCGCGAACGAAGCCCTCGACTCCTCATACCTTCCCACCACATAAAGCATCACCCCCAAACGGGCCTCTATTCCGGCAACCGTGGCCAGCTGCCCTGGCTTATCCTCCAAAAGCTTCATAGCTTTGTGCAACAGCTTCAGGGCCTCCTCAGGCTCGTTGAACATCTCGTAGATGGCCGAGATCTCGGTGAGGCCGGTGGCGATGTCCTCCGGCAAAGTCCCCGGGACAGGCTTGGCATATATCCTGAGGGCGTTCTCGCAGTATGATCTCGACTCCCTGAGTTTGCCCGTCTTGTGGTAGAGCTCGGCCAGCCTGGCAAAAACAGAAGCAACCGAGGGGTGGTGGTCACCTCTGGAGGACTTGAAGACGGTAAGAGCCTTCTGATAGGAGAAGACGGCCTCGTCGAAGCGTGTGAGGGCCGAGTAGATGTTGCCGATGCACACGTCGATGGCAGCGACCTCGGCCTCGTGGCCGTGAGCAATCATGGCCATGCTGGCGAGGACGAGGTGCTCGAGGGCCGACTCGTGATCGGATTTGGCCTCGCAGATGAGGGCCATCAGACGGCGGTCCGTGGCCTCCTCAAGGGAAGCAGGCGGGCTGTGCACACGATGGATCTCAAGGGTCTTTTTGCACAGCCTCTCCGCCTCCTCGAATTGCATTGCCTGGACATGGGCCTCCGCAAGGTACCTGCCCACATTTTTATTATTTTTAAGACCACAAGATATCCCAGAGTTATCCTAGATGTCAATTATATACATAATTCAAGTGCAACCAGCTCATCTTCATTTGAATAGTTGCATATCTCCCATCAGACTATTCTGAATTTTTTGCAAGTTCTTACTAATTTCACGAATCTTTCTTTTCGACATCTAACTTTGAACATCTGCACAGATCGTTCAAAAGCTGAGCTCAATCTATAGTGAATTTGCTCATAAGAGCTATTCCTTCATAAAAGTAGAAGAGTGCATCAGGAGTCAAATAGTTAAGGGGAGGAATATATAGAATCCCATGAGCAAAGATGAGAAAAAAAAGGCTACAATTTGTAGTAGTTAACTTATAGCTGATTTAGTTAACTTCTAATCTTTGTACTCAAATCCATCTCGTTTCGTAGGATGAGTTCCTTACAAAAAAACAGCTTTATCTTACATGTTTATTGAGGTAGCAATTCAAAAAAGCCTACTACCAAATGCTTTTATTAACATTACCTAACTTTTCAGTTATCAACCACAAACTATCAAACTATCAACTCGAAATCAAAGTATCTCCATCTCATACCAATCGGACAGGCACTTCCTTAAAAAGCCCATAGAGGTGTGGCTCCACAACCACATTTGACTAACGGACCCCCGTAGCATGGCTTGAACCCTTAGACATAGCCAACGCTGCGGGTTGGATCACAAGACATTAGAGTGTTTCCCTCGATTACTCATTCTACCCAAAGGTGCTTGGGTAGCTATAGCACACCGTGTGACCAACATTCTTGTTGGGTCATTTAGTGGCTCAACGTGTGTCCTCCATCCTGGCATCACGCCGCCCCTTTGGTTCCCAAACCCATTTGGGGACTCTCAACTCTTCAACCAGATGCTTAGAACCGGCCTTCCCCATACCCCCAATTTTCCTAAACACTTATATTATCTAACTTTTTAGTCATCGGTTATCAGTTTGAAATTAACCAATCACCTATCAGCACCAAACATACAAACACATAAAGTACCAGAACACAGAACTAACTAAGCATCAGGACCAAACATACAAACATATAAAGTACATGAACACAGAACTAACTAACCATCAGGGACCAAACATACAAACACATAAGGTACCAGAACACAGAACTAAAAACCAAAAGAACAGCTTTTGTAGTAAAAGGTACCAGAACGGAATTCTATTAAACAGAACTACCCAACGAAAGGAGTAATGTTCGATTTCTTTCCCCCTTTCTTGGAGCATAAGATGCAGTAAACTTTACCTGCATGTCTCGGCAACTCTAGGATCATTTTCCCCCAAGGCTTCCATCTGTACCTTTAAACCTTCCTTATAACAGTCGATAGATCGATCCAAATGACCCAGCATCGAATGAGTATCACCCAACTGCATATACCCCGAAAACACTGCCAGTGCGTGATCCGCACCCCTCTGCACCTCCGGGACCTTAATCGCCCTCTCCAGAACCGGCACCGCCTCCTCGAACTTCCCCAGGCTACAGTAAATCGCCGCCACAACGTGCAAACTCATAGACAAGTCCAAGCTCGGCTCGCTTTCGGTGGCACATTTCTCAAAACTCCTCGACGCGCGCAGTGCGTAATCCAAGGCCTTGCTAGGGCCTTCGCCCGACGCTATTGTGTCTCTGGCCAATTTAAGAAGAAACGGGCCGAGATCCGGGTTGTCTAGCGAGGATTCATCAAGTAGGCTTTTCTCCGGCGAGGACTTTTTCCTCGCGGAACCCCGATCTGGAGAGGGTTTGGCCCGTGAGGTGGACGGGGAGGAAGCTGGCGGCCGGCGCGTGGCCGGGGAGCTGGATTTCGGTTCGGATCTGATGGTTTCAACGACTTGACGGATCGGCGACTCGTCGGGGACCGTAATTCGCAGCGGGGCAGCGTCGGGCGGCGTTTTAACTGATACCAAGCCCGGCATTTTTGGGGGAAAGATCACCGGAAATGAAGCAGAAAAGGTGTCGTTCCGATCCCAATAGAAGGTAATTAGGGGCGAGTTTATTAGAACGGACTAAAAATTAATTCTGTGAGTTAATTATGGAATGGTAGAGAAATGTATGCCACCACCCTCAACTTTTGTTGGTGAGGGTATACGGTTTGCTCGGCGAAACGAGCTTCAAACACGTGAGAGAGGACGGAAGAGTCATTAACTTGTATTACATACATTTATATATATAATTACCGACAAACTTCAATAAATTTTATTCAAACACTAATTAATAATAATATAAATTTATTTATAATTAATAATAATATAAATTCATTTAATAAAAATCGGTGTTTATTTAATAAAAATATATTCACCATTTAATAAAAATTTATAACTTTTAGTTACACAATTTATTATGACAGGTCCCATTTTGAAATGTGCTCATTTCTATAATGTCTTTGTATGTCCTGAGATATAAAATATTTTTGTTTTTATTTTTATATTATATATTTTTCGATATTATATAAATACATATTTAACAATTAATTAAGAATGACTACAAATATCTCTATTTTCTATTGCAGTCATACAATAATAATAAAATATTTTTTCGGATATGACAAAGATACATCAAATATTTTGAAAAACCAAATCCTAGAATCACAAGTTGAAGGGTTTATTAATGATCATGATTGTTGTGATAGGGATTCTGACGATAGAAAAAACCACGAATGTTGTATATAAAGAAATGTTTAATAATATTTAGATTTATTTTTTTTAAATTAATTTTTTCTCATTTAATAAGTTATTATTTTTATTTTATTCTACATTTTTAATTACTTTTTTTCTATTATATCGTTTTTCGTGCAAATAGACAAGATAAAACTAGTTATTGGTATTATAGAATGACATGAAAATAGAATAATTATTTCCTTATCTGTTCTAGAAATGAATGATCACTAAAGCACATCAAGATTAGATATATTGTAATATAGATTGTTGATAAGTAAGATAGAGAAAGAGAGAAAATAACAGGAGAAAAGAGATACAGCCGTAAAAATCCCTCTATATCAATTCTTTTATATTATTGTGTCAGTTATATCCATAAAAAATTTTCAATTGATTTTTAAATTTATTTTGCCTTATATTTTTCAATGTTCTCACGCATATTCCGGTCCATATATGACTGGATACCCAACAAAATAGAAGAACGCATGATTTTTGTTTAAGATACAATATAAAATATTTTGGTATATGGTTGATTAACAAATTAATAAGAAATCACCGTGATTTGTTACTAATGTTGTTGATAAATAAGATTCTATTGTAACATTGTGGAAAAGATCATAATAAAATTTTCATAATTAATTTTTAATTTTTATTTTGTAATTATATTTTCAATATTATCGTGCATATTTAAAATATATTTTATAAAAATAAATTATATATATTTTTTCCAACGACATAAATAATCATAGCAATATGCCAAAAAATGGCAATGTACAGATAATGGGAGCACACATGAGAGGACTCGCAACACAGTGCGGCCTAGACGAAAACAGCTAAACAAAGCTTCAAACCAATCTAACAGCAATCTACCAAATCCAAGAACTAATCAAACCAGTCAGCAACTGAAAATAAATAACACAAAGATAGAATACAAAACTCCAACCAAGACTCACAAAACCCAAGCACTAGACAAAAAAGGAAATAACCACTGACACTAGACCTAGTTAATCCTTTTCTATCCATTCTAGGTTTTGGAGTTTGCCACAGAAAAATCCAACCAATCCTTCCAAGCAGATTTGATGATCCACTCCCTCGGCATCCATTGCTTCTCAAAGATCCATAAATTCCTCGCTTTCCACAGCCACCACAGGATGTACATGGATAACTGTATTCTTTGTTCAGAAATATCTTTGAAGCTCATGGAAGACACCCACCACCACCATTCTTTCACAGTCATCTGCTCACAGTGAATTCTGTTCTATTGAACTGGGGCAATCTGCCAGGATTAGAATTGCTCTGGGGCATTTGAACAAGACATGCTCTTGTGTTTCAGCATCTTCACCACATTGACTGCACAGTGTATCCAGCTCAATCCCTCTGGCTTGCAGGTTGCATTTCACAGGAAGAATCTGAGAGTAACACTGCCAAACAAAGTGCTTGACTTTCCCCATCACTTTGAGTTGCCAACATCTATTTCTAGCTCTGAAATTATTCCTAGCTGCAATGCTACTCTCATATCATTTTTAATAAATTATATTTAATAGACCATTTTTTGAAGACATGTTGTATGGTTGGTTGCAAAAGAAAAAAAAAATTGCAGTGGTTCGTAATTAATATGAAAAATCAAATTTTTAATTATCACAAAATAATTTTCAAAATTGATACTACTTTATTTATATAGAAAGTCATGCGATTAATCCGATGACACGATTTACAACATGTATGCATAATTTAATTTTCATTTTTTTTACAAAACTTATTTTAATATTAAGTCAACCAATTTAATTACAAAGTCAAACTTACTATTTTAGATTATTCCATCACCCTCTTTCAAATATATATATAGATAAGGGGTTACAACGTACATGATTAATCACCTAATGAGATTCTATCCCATACCTAAAAAGCCTATATCTAGGTAATGTCTACAAACAAATATATACAACAAGATAGTCATTTAATAGCTAATTGTTTTCTTCTCATATAGTAGTTGTCAAATGCCAGTGTGCATTTAGATAATATCAATCAATCATTCAAACACACCACATCAACCTTAATTCACTATTCATCCATTTTAACTAACTATCACTTCAAATTACCTCTCTCCTAAAACATCAAATCAATTATAATTATTTTATTTTAAATATTATTTTAATATACCCATTAACAACTAACCATACAACTTTTTATTAAAATTAGCCAAACCAAACTAAAAATTCTAACAAAACCAAAAATTTTCATATCCAAACATGCTCCAGGCATTCGCTTTAACGACCACCTTCTGACTTTTAGTACTATAATAATCTACTCATTTCACGTTACTATGAAGTATCCCACAAACAGCCTATTTTCCGAACATCTTTTCCAATCCTACTAGTATAACCTTTCCAGCACGTGGGCTGAAATGCTCTGAATCTAAATATGTTCTTGACTAGGCCTCTGCCTTCGTCCACAATTCATTCATAGTAATGATTACTAACTGAGATGGAACTATATTCAGAACTTAACTTGCTATTTGCAGACCTCCAATACGAAAAATGAAATTCCTACTAACTCATCGACACAACCAATCTTCTTGAGAGACATTTTCATTCATTCTGTTACACCGTCCTGTTTCCATAAACCAGGTGCAACCTGTTGAAATCGAATCTCAAGATCCAATAAGTATTTCCATGATTTTCCAAAAGGTATTAGTCATTACGATTATGATCGTAATGCCACTGATACATTAACCTCGACATCTTTCCATAACTGCCATCGTCCTTTCTCAAAGTACTCAAGCTTATGGAATGTCACTTAATGTACCCTGTCTAGAACAAATTTCTTCGAAGAAAAATATTCAAAACTATCTTTTGTCCTAAAAATCATAGGACCACACTGTAACATCCCACCTTGACTAGCTTTGACTTTTGAAAATCAGAGTAAATTTTTCTCTTTTATTTTCGAAGTGCGAGCTTGGTTTTCGAAAATACTAACTTGTTTGTGGGATGCTACGAGAACTTTCTTAACTTTATTTTTTGGACATAAAATAAAACATGCATCCAATCGAGCCATTGTGGCGGTAGGAAAAATATACATGTAGTCCGCTTGATCGCAGTAACTCAGCGGAAGCTTACAAATAAAATATACATATCACAATCATTCATATAAATACATGCTTATAATTTTTGGGACATGTTCGTGTATAAAAATGTCCACTGTTCATGACCACGCTTGCCACGTCTGCTCACCCGGCACGCTGGACTCTAACACCTGAAATAAGAAAGACTGTGGGAGTGTGAGCACATCTGCATGCTCGTGGGAAAAACTGGAACTGTAATAATCTTAACTATAAACATGAACTTAAATGCAGCATAAAATAAATAAGCTGTACTGAACTGTAAACTTTTCTCAAACTTTAGCTTTGGTCAACGACCCTTACTCGGCCCTTGGCCGCTCGTGTGCACACCCCGATGGGATATTAAGACCCTCGGCCTCCCCCGGTACCAGGTGAGTCTCGAAAGGCCCTTAGGTCGGCCAATCACCTGGGAGAACTAACTGTCTCGAACATACCTCTGCCATGGTACATATATTATATATGATGTTGAATCCAGTACATGGCCCACACATCTCCACATGACCAGTACTGAATAAGACATCATCAATAATACACTAGATCATGGCTTCAATACCTAAGAGCTGAACTGAAATCTATGGCCAAAAGACCATCGGCCCTCGGCCGCTCGTGTGCACACCCCGATGGGATATTAAGGCCCTTGGCCTCCACCGGTACCAGGTGAATATCAGGGGCCTCGGCCCGCTCACCGTGGGCCCCTCATCTGGGAGAACTAACTGGACCACAAACGGGATAATTCGACCGCTTGGGTAAATATCTTACTCGCGTACCTTATACAGGATAACTGAAATGCGCAATGTAACGCCCTGTAAAGGCTCCCACCTGATAACTGAAATCTGCTGCAAGTGCTTGAAACTTGAGTAGCGGTCAGAGGCTCGACTCTCCTTAAGCTACATAAACATTTAAGCAAAATAATGCTAAGTATAATGCACATAATATTTATTTATATGCTAAGATGCTCGGATTTATCTAATCGATAAGACTGGACTAGCTTGGCTCGAAAAAGGACTAAAATTCCGAAAAGAGACTCGAACCGGAAGTCACGAATCAAAATGGACTCGAACCGCCGGTTGAACCGGCCGGTTCGCTGACTTCGGGTGCTGGCTGAGCACGGCCGAGACTCGATTGAGCCCCTGTCGTGCGGCTGGACGCGGGTTAGGCCTGGACAGAGGCCACACGGGCGCTGGCCAGCGTCCCCGAGGTCACTGGGCACTCGGGCGTGTTGCTGGGGCACGCACCGAGGCCTACTAGGCTCAAAAGACCTGGCTTGGGTCGGCACTGGGCATGGCACGATGCTGCCGGGCACCATGCATGTGGCTTGGGCACGTTGGGTGCCGTTGCCACGCGGTTGGGGCTA